TTGTCAGGTGTGCCAGGATTATTATCATTACGTTAATTTCATTTTGCTTAATCATCTTGCATAGAATGTTAAACTAATTATGTGCTCTACTATAAGTGTAGGTCACGATTAGTTATCAGTACACCAACCTATAAAATCCTAACTATAACTATTATTAGCTTACTATAATTCTCAATCATTGTTTATTTGAATAATTTCAGGTTGGTGTCGATTATTTGGAGAAACTTTGGAAACCGGATACATTTTTTCCGAATGAAAAGAAATCATTCTTTCATACTGCAACAACGCATAATTCCTTTTTACGAATCGATTTGGATGGCACCGTTTTAACTTCACAAAGGTTTTACATTATAATTATTATTTTTAACAAATATCATTAAAAGTTCGATGTCTTTCTTTCTTTCGAAATTTGCTACTAATTTATATCATATCGATTATTTGTCATTTTTATACATTTATCTACAGGTATGTATGTGTATTATATTATCATTTAGCAGCACTACTATTCATTATCATCGTATCAATATCACTTTAATTATTAACTATCATAATTAGCATGTTTGTTGATATTTTCAAAATAAAAACTATCAAATGTTTTATTTAGGATTAAAATTTGAAAAGTGAAATTTTAAGAAAAGCGATAAACCTAAAATAAGAAATTTATTAATAATAACTTAATGAATTAATTTTTAAATAATATTTAATAAATAATTTATTCGATTATTTCACCTTCTTTTATTTTATTTTCTCTTATTTCTATTATTGTTTACTTAGCAAAATAAATAAATAATAATAATAATAATAATAATAATAATAATAATAATAATAATAATCGAAAGAAATTAATTCAATCCCTAATAAAGCGCAAGAAAAAAGGAAATGAATAAATAAATAAATGTAAATATTTAAATAACCTTGCATTTCCTGTATTATCTTTTATTCAATACATTTTACATTATCATTATTTCCATATTACTTACATTATCATTATTCTTTACTATTTACATTATCACTACTTTTTTTATTATTTACATTATCATTATTCCTATATTATTTACATTATCATTATTTCCATATTACTTATATTATCATTATTCCTGTACTATTTACATTGTCATTATTCCTATATCATTTACATTACCATTATTTCTATATTATTTACATTATCATTATTCCTGTATTATTTACATTATCATTATTTCCTACATCATTTACATTATATCATTTATCATTTATATCATTTACATATAATATCTATATCATTTACATTATCTTTTATCAAATTAACAATAAATCTCTTTTACTCTTCCTCTTCTGTTCGTCAAATATTCATTTATCATAAAATTTTTCATCAATAATTTTGTGATTGAAAATGATATCAGTGATAATTGCTAATAGCATATATCGAATTTCTTAATAATAATAATAAAAACTATGGGGAAGAAATTGGATGCCATAAATTTTCTATTCTAAAATAAATATGCTCTTTTTTTTTGGAATGATCAATTAAAGAAGAATTTTATGGTTAAGACAGATTGGATTTAAAGTAGGAAAATGGATGTTGGAAGAAGCATAAATGAGAAATGAATGTCGAAAAATTTATCTTATCTTTGACTTCTTTATTTTGACAATGAATAATGAATGAGAGAGATTGAAGGAAATATATATACAAATTGAGGGCCTTAAAAAATATATTTTTAATTTATAAAATATAAATTGGAACAGGGAAAAAAAAGAATGATATGATTATAGTTATTTATATAGTTAATGAATTGTTTTAATAAATTTCACAATTTCATCAAAAACAACATTTATTTATATTTTGCTTAATTAATAATTGTTTTAATAAATGCCACAATTTTATCAAAAACAACATTAATTCATATTTTATTCAATTAATAATTGTTTTAATGAATTTTACAATTTTATGAAAAAAAATATGTATTTATATTTTGTTTAATTAATAATTGTTTTTCACAAATTTATGAAAACAAAAAAAAAGAAAAAAGATTTTAATTGAAAAGAATAAATTTTACCTAAGTTTATTTAAAATTTTTGATAAATTTTTGATAAATAATTAAAATGACGATATAAAAATTAATAAAGGAATTTTAGGCCAAAATAAAATGGATGATAAAAATGAATAATAAAAATAATTGAATTCACATATATAATTATTCACATATAACAATGATTTCATAAGATATAATCAATGATAATAGTTAATATTGGAAATGAAATTTGGAGTTATTTCTATTTCAGGTTAACAGTAACAGCAACATGTCCCATGAAATTACAACTATTCCCAATGGATTCACAAAAATGCAAACTTGAAATCGAAAGTTGTAAGATTCTTTCCTTTTCAAATTTTTCTTTTCTCTAGACATATTTAATCGTATTTTAAAAGGGTTCCCTGACAATCAAGAATTCTCAGTCTTTCTGTTATAATTTCATTTGTTAATGCATTCGTTTCATTTCGGTTATGAATGGTTATGAAACGATATGCTTAATTGAATTTTGATTCTTTTTATTTTATTAGCTCAATTTGTTTAGTTTAAAACAATTGATTTTTCCAGTTAATTAGTTCCGTTAATTAAAAGTTAATTTGTTTCGTTTGTAATTTTACTATCAAATTTGTTGGTATGGTGCACCAGTGTCTTTTACATTTATTGTTAAAATTTCTCGTTATTTTTGATAAATTAAATTTTGAATTATATTTTAGCGTTTTCAAGTTGTAATTACTTTATTGTTTCATTTCTTATCTTATCTGTCATTTTAATTAACTTTTAAATTAATGAGAAAAAGATAAATTGATGGCTAAAAATTATTTTTAAATAATTTCATGCTTATTTGTAATGAAAGATTTAGAAATTAGATTACGTGTAATTAGCAAATATCTAATTGTAGCCATTACATAAATTTATTTAGAAATGAAATTTTATAATACCGTCGAATACGTTTCTCATTTATAATGATTTAATTAATTAATTAATTAATTAATATTTAAGTGTATGAGATATTTCGACGTTAACTTAATGTTTTTGTTATCCTTATTTGATTGCTGTATGTAATAAAATAATGATTATATGAAAAATGGTTATATGATAGATTGTTTTGCTACGAAGTTTCATTTTTCATCCAATCCATATTAAATGAAATATGGTTCAAATTTTGAATATTTAAGGTAAGCTTAAATTAAATTATTTTTTTCACTAATTACTTCACAATTAAATTTGTATTAATCTAATGGAATATATCGCTTAACTCTTTCTAATCATAGAAAATCATCAACTAAATCATTATTACCATCGATAATTCTTATAAATAATTAAATTAAAAAAAGAATTTGAAAAATTGCTAATTTTTTAATTAATTAATTTGAAATTAAAATAATAGCAAAATTTGAAGCACATCAAAATGAATAAATTGAAATGTAATTAAATTTTATAATCAAATACCTGTAATATTTCTTTTGGTCTATTCTTAGTGATTTAATAATTAATCAAAATTTGAATAATTATAATAAATTCTTTTCTACGATTATTCGAATACTTAAGCTTTTTGCATTTCCACTACTTCCTACAACGTTTCATTAATAATAATTCGAAATTAACAATTTTACTTAATTTTTATTGTTTTTTTCTTTTTAATTAAAATTAATTGAATTTTGTTTTACATTATGCTTGAATGATTTTATATTCTTAAATGTATCAATTGTTATTTGTTTTTAAATTTAACTTAAAAGAATTGCTTGCTCTTTTCAGCTTTTTCAATTCCCAATTTACTAATTTAAATTTTTATGCTACTTTTTTTCTTTATTGTTTGATATACTACGATCTAATTTTGTTGCATTCAATAATGCTACTATCATTTGTTTACATATTTATGTTTATGTTTGTATTTCTATTAATTATTGCTTGTTACAACTACTTCACTTACCTGTCATATTCTTGATATGGTTGTATTTCTATTAATTATTGCTTGTTACAACTACTTCACTTACCTGTCATATTCCTGATATGGTTGTATTTCTATTAATTATTGCTTGTTACAACTACTTCACTTACCTATCACTATCCTGACATGGCACTGGTGCACAACATTTTCAATTTTTGTTGATTTTTATTTTTAAAAAAAGAAAATGAAAAAAAAAGCACCTATTTTGCTAATATCTATAGTATGCGAATTTGTGAGAATATATTTTAGAAATTTTAAAAATGCTGAAATTTTTTTCTGTTAAACTTTTCTCCTTTCAGATGGCTATACAACCGCTGATATAGCATTATTTTGGGGCAAACATCGCAAAGATCAGGGTCAAGTAGTTGGATTTGAAAATATTTCGCTGCCACAATTCAAGCCAGTCGGTTATCGGGTAAATGTTACCCGAGCAACCACTTCTTCAGATCAGTTCTTCTTCCTTTTTATGTTCTTTAAAAAAAAAACAGAATATTTTAGAAAATTTGAAAACATTGAATTGAACTTCATTTTTTCTTACTCTTCAATTATAATCTTTCTTAATCGTTTCTTTATCACTTCTATTATGATTTTTTCTTCTTTTGATATTAAAAAATCACGATTACCAATATTATTATTGTTAATACTATTATTATTAATTACTATTATCACTAATAGCAATGGCAATAATAGTAATAATAATAATGATGATGATGATAATTTATAAGCAAATCATTGCTACGTTTGATAAGCTACAAAAGATAAACTAAATTAAAATTATTTATACAAACAAATATCGATATTTAAAATTTAAGACAAAAAAAATTAGATTAAAATTTTCAAATCAAAATTGCCAAATTTCGATTTGAAAATTCTTTTTTAATAATTCAAAAATATTATCATTGTATTATCAGAATAATATTATCAAAATATTATCATTGCTAAATTGTTGAATGAAAATTGAATAATATATTAACCAATTAATGATAAAATATAACTTTTGCTAAAATTATTGTTAGCATAATCGATAATTTTATAAATATTTCTTTTAAAAGACTTCAAAAAAGGAAAATCTAAAATTTATAAATTTAAAAATTTCAATTTTTTTCGCTTTTTAACTTTTTATAAATTTAAAATTTAAAAATAACCCAAAACAAAATTAAAGTTCCATTTTTCTATGATTCAAAATTGATGTAAAAAGCAAAAATTTGCTTCATTTTCTTCCTATCATCAAAATCAAGAAATTCGTAATTCTCTCTCTTCTTCTTCTTTCTACAAAATCTTATAGCTTAAAATCTTATCTTTTCTTCTTCTGTGAAGCCATTTTAGTTAAATGAAGAAGAAGACTATATTAGCTATCAAATTTTATTTATCACTTTTTCTCTCTCTCTCTCTCTCTCCTGAAATACCAAAATAATATATGGAAATTAGTGCTATTCATTCCTTTTTTAAAAATCCATCAAACCAATACTTTGAGCTTTTTAGGCATATACTTGAGGATGAATGAGGGAAGTACTTAAATATGATAAGAGAAATTAAATGAATTGTTTGTTTATCATTTATTAAAGATAAAATCGTTAATTTTTAAGTTTATCAAAAATTGAATAATCAACAAAAAAGAAAAGAAAATTAATGAAAATAATAAGATCTTAGATTTATTTGATAATTAATTTATTTACTAATTACTTTTAATACAATTTCTTCTTCAGTTTTGTAAAGAAGAAAAAATTCAATTTTTTTAAAATAATTTTATAATTTTTTCTTAAAAAGTTTTCTCAATATTTATTTATTTTTTATTTTTAATTAATAAATTTATTTTTATTTTTTATTTATTTTATTTATTTTCTCATTTATCATTTTTTAGAAACAATAAAAATTAGAGATAAGAAGAAAAGAAAAATTTTTGCTTTTTCATTTCAATGCTTTTAACATTTAAAAAGGAAAAATGAAATTAAAAAATAGAAAAACAAAATGATAAATTTATATTTTAAAATACATTAACAAATGAAATGATTTAATTTATTTGTCGAAGGAATGAGTAATTCTGTACAAAATTACGAATTAATTTTCTTCATTTGCTTTTAAATATTTTCAATATATAAATAAGTAAATAAAAAAACGTGTAAATAAGTAAATAAAAAAAGTGCAAATAAATAAATGAAAAAACGTGCAAATAGATAAATCAGAAAAGCGTGCAAAATAAATAAATAAATAAACGTGTAAATAAGTAGAATAAAAACGTGTAAATAAGTAGAATAAAAAACGTGTAAATAATTAAATAAAAAAATTGCAAAGAAAATTACGAAATGATTTGAGTGAAAAATAAATCACCAAAAAAGAAATTAAGAATAACGAAAAAAGAAATGATGAGAAATATAAAACTTTCTAAAAAAAAAATATTTATAATTAAATAATCTTATTTGATAATATAAGTAAGTAAAAATATTATCATTACAGGTGTATATGTTCGATTATATTTTGAAGTGCTGTTGGGTCGTAATCTTGGTTTCTACCTCATGAATATTATCATTCCTTCAATGCTTATTGTTACCATATCTTGGGTATCATTTTGGCTCAATCGTGAAGCATCACCGGCACGTGTTGGTCTTGGTGTTACTACCGTACTAACGATGACTACACTTATAACTACGACTAATGTATATTTCAATTTTCATTTTTTGTTTATTAAAGTTTTCAAATTGTAGAGTAATAATAATAACTGTGAAATAGTTAAAATTCACTTAGTTTTAATAAAATATTTACTTTTGTTCTTAACAGGAAATTTTTTTAATTATTTCTAATTTTTTTGAATTCTATTTGAATTTTTAAAAATCGATTTGAAAATATATTATTTGCAAAATATTTTGTATTTTTTTCCAATGATAAGATTGTGGGAAAAAATTCTTAATTAATTAATTAATTATAATGTTTAGTTTTATGCAAAGATACTTGTTACTACAAAGGTACCTTTAATTGGTTTCTTTTAATTGGTTCGATTAAATCAAATAAGAGTTCTTAACAGAATGTTGATCGTACTGATCTAATCTAATTGATCGCAATTGATCGCGGGTACTTGTTATTACAAAGGTACCTTGTTTTTCTTTTCTTTCACTCTCTCATATTTTTTTTCTTTCAGAATTCGATGCCAAAAGTTAGTTATATTAAAGGACTTGATGTCTTCTTAAATTTTTGGTTAGTTTTATTTATTTATTAATTAATACAAAAAAATATGCCGGAAACTAATTAGGAATGCAAAGAATTTTCAATTTTAGGTTACAAATTGGTAAAATTTTAGGTTACAAATTAGTAAAAATTACAGCCTAAAATTAAAAATTTCAAAAAGATAAATTATTTGCTTATTAGTTCGTTTGAGATTAAAACAATTTAAATTTAGAAATTTTTATATAAATTAATTTTGTGAAGAAAAAATTTTTTTTTTGATTTTTCTTTTAACTTTTACAAGAAATGATAAAAATATATCTTTTAGTTTTGTGATGGTATTTGCAAGTCTAATTGAATATGCGGTAGTTAGTTATATGAATAAAAAGCTGGCACAAAGGCGTGAAAAGAGAAGAAAACAAATGGAACAACGAATGCCTGTTGAAATGCCTATGTATGGTCAAATTACTTCCAATCCTAAAACACAAATGGTAAATTATCATTTTTTAGTATAATGAAAAAAAGCATTAATATTATATTTTCTTTATGCTAATTTTAAATATTTAAACAAAAGGCAAAATAAAGAAGAAAAATAAACAATTTATTTTTTTCAAAAATAAATAAATAAATAAATTAGAAAAGTTAGGTTTGAAAAAGAATAAATCTTATTTCAGTCATATCAAAATATGACTCTTATCAATGATAATTATGCCTCGCCAGGTAGATCTTCCATCAAAGTAAGTGAACTCAATAGACTGTATCATCATCATTATCATCACCATCACACATCCGATAATTTTCTAATCTAATTTGCACCTCCTTTTTTTTGCAGAAAATTTATAGGTAAAGGAAATAAGATTACATATAAACTTATAAATAATTTATTTCACTGAGATAATAATAGTAATTAATTAAAAAAATAAATATTATATTAAATATATTTTGTTGCTAAATAAATAAATGAGCAATTAATATTCAACAAATTAATTCTAATTAAATGCAAAAAAAAGCTGTCAATATCATTTGTAACAAAAAATTATCAGTAAGTCTAAGAGTTTGATTGTAATTATTAATTGGTTAAATTGGTTAAAATAAATTGGTTAAAGAAAACTGGTTAAATTTAAAGAAAAAAGAAAACTTCAATTCCAATTAATTAAAACAAACAACAAATGTGAAATTTGCACTATCGTATAAAACTAGTTAGCAGCACGATGCATGTAAATATAAGCTAACGGTATTGTCAAAGGTGAACACGTAAATGTTTTCACGTAAAATGCATGACACGTCTATTATTTGCTTAGTAACTTTTGCACTTCCAAATTTATCAACATTTCAGCAGATGGATACATTTCTTGGTGGTCCAGGACAAAATCCTAATAATATTGTAAGTTCTTTTTATAGTAAATATAATAATAAGTTTTATGTGATATTTATGATTAGAAATACAAATAAGTAATTTTAACCTTATTAGTAAACAATTTTATCATTTATCAATTATCATTTGTTTCTTTTGTTTTCTTTGAAATTTTTATTATTATGATTTTGTTATTATTATCATTATATTATAAATGACCTTTATTATCATTATAAATTTAAGATTGAAAATTTTTAGAATTAAATAAAAGTATTATTATTATTATTATTTTTTAATTTCCAACCTCCTAAATATTATTAAACTTTTTAATTTAATAATATAATAATACATGAAAATACAGAGTGTATCAGAAGCAATGATGCCAGAATGTGATTGTCGTACAATACCATTGATACAGAATCCACGTTTGGTAACAGATCAAACATTATGGCCAGCACCATTCGTGAAATCAAAACGTGCATCACAAACGTGTCGAAGTGTTACACCATCGAAAATTGATAAATGTTCTCGCTTCCTTTTTCCTATGCTATTTTTCGGTTTTAATTGTAAGTATTTTTTTTTGTTTTAATAATAAATTTAATCTGTTTTCATTTCATTTCATTTATTAATCTAATTATTATAATTATAATTAATAATTGCCTTTTTCTTTTGTTTATAATTTTTGCTACGAAAACGAAATTAATCTTACAATAATTAAAACAGAAAAGTTATTTTAAAAAAATTTTTTAAAGTTTAAAAATATTTCAAAAAAAAGAAAAATTTTAATAGAAATTAATTTGTTTTAAAATTTCAAATTTCAGTATTTTATTGGACAATTATGACGGTGCTTAGTTCATTCGTGGATACCAGTGAATATACATTATTTGATTAAAATTATAATATAATCAAAGGAGATAAGATAATCGAATGATAACATTACAGTAATATTATCATCAAATTTATAACATATCTTTTGATCAATTCTATCTAATTTTTATTCGTTCTTTTTTTTTTTAAGAAAAAATTAATTGCTATAAATTGATAGATTGATTGAAATAATTTTATTGTGATCGATAATCAATTCATATTTGATTTGTTGTAATTGTAAAACATTTCACTTCATATTGTATTATTATTGATATTATATGTAATATATAGAGAGATAGGCATGATGCATGCATGCAAATGTGCATTTGATTTGCCTTACAAATAATAATAATAATAATAATAATTGCTATTTTAATTGATGCAATTATTCAATTATCATAATTACTGTAGCATTATATCAATAATTACCGTAATACTATATTAGACATTGTAATATTATATATATATATAAATAGACCTGGTGCATCTGGCCTTTTTTTCTTTCGTTGTTCTTCTGTCATCTAATTTGATTGATAATTTTCTTTCTTTCTTTCTTTCTTTGCTTTTAATTTCACATCAAAATGGATTGTTGACAAAAATTTGCATAAGCATTTGCAAAATATGATATGAACGAAGATTAAATGATAAAAGTTAATTAATCATTAAATGATAAGTTATATCTAATGAAGAAAAGAAACGAAACAAATGAGAGACTGTATGATCGTCTGCAACAAAGATATCATACAATGGAGAAAAAGATAAACTTATAAATTTGACTTTTGAAAATTTTAACTTTTAAAAATTAAAATTTTCAAACTTCTAAAGGAAAAGAATTGGTAAGTTCACTCTAAAGATATTTTGTTACTAAAATTATCAAATGATGGCAATTTTTATGTAATCCTTCTCTCTCTCCCTCTCTCCCTCTCTCTCTCTCTCTCTTTCCCTCTCGATTGGTAATTTCAGGTTTAGCAATATTTTTTCGTTTCTTTTTTTCTTTGAAATTTTATTTCTCTTTCAATTTATTGATTAAAAATTTGAAAAGAAAAGTAATTAGAAGAAATTGAGATGGTTACACTGTTGCAACAATACATTATCATTGGTGTCTAAAGGATGTTCACTGCAACTCAGCTGTCAAAGTTGAACAACCATTTCAATTGACCAGCTATCGATTTGCAAGCTTATGCGTTAATAAAACAATCGCAACAACATCATCCGGTTAGTTTGATATTATTATTATCATTATTATTGTTGTTATTGCAATATATGAGTTATAGGTTATTGCTATCAAAGTAACGTAGAATATTTTTGGGTGCATTAAATTGAGAATAATATTAAAAACAATTACGCCAAATAAGGGATTATATATTTAAGGATGTAAAAGCTATATTTTGGTAATTTGGATTATATTATCAGTTATCAATGATTAAAAGAAATCGTATCTCCTTTAATCATTTTAAAAAGTATTACATTAGATGGTTGGAAAAATTGAATTGGTAATTTGATTTGCAAAATTAATTTAAAAATTAAGAGTTAATTAATTATAGAAATTTGCTTAGGTTCTTATTCACGATTATGGGCACAATTTGTTTTCGAAAGAGAATTCAGCTTCTACATGATCCGGATTTTTCTTCCTGCAATGCTTGTTGTTTTCATGAGCTGGATGTCATTCTGGATCAATCCCGAATCAGCCCCATCCCGTACAGTTATTGGGACATTTACTATATTGAGCGAGACTCATCTCTTGATGGGCACGAACAGACGACTACCGCCTGTTCCCTACATTAAGGTTACTTAACACATTGAAGTGTGTTTCGAATAAAATTTTCATTTCATATTCTAACAGAACTTCGTGATGTTTCAGGCTGTAGATGTTTACCTTGGATTTTGTTATTTGAATGTAGTATTAGCACTTATCGAATATGCCATTGTCGCGTATTCAAAGAAGAAATATGGAGATCGAAAAAAAAACAAAAGCAAGAGTATTTTCGAACTAACACCACAATTACAAGCACCAGATTTGCTTCAAGGTATGATAAGGAAAGAGATTGAAATAAAATTGTATGCTAACAATAAATTGCAATTTTATAGATGCCCGCATAGATGAATGTACTTGCGAACAAAATGTTTCGGTATTTGTAGTAGCTAAACGTCCACTGAAATACGCTGATTTCTGCAAGCATAGTCGAGTGGACCTTATTGCTCGAATTGTATTCCCCATTTCGGTTTGTTATCTCATTTTAGTAGCCCCTCTTCTCTTTGCAAAACACTAAATAGTTTACTATGTTTCCGTAATTTTTTCAACAATATTAGAAACTTTATCAACAAATTCAACAAACTTTTTACAAAACAAAGTGACGTAGTTGCCGAAAATTTTTTCCAAAACTGAATATTATAAAGATAAACTCAAGAGAAACAGTGATAAATTACTTTTAAATAATTTCATAACTATTTCAGTTCCTTATGTTCAATTTCATTTACTGGACAGTGCTTCTTTCCCTATCAGGATGGAAAATGTATGGAGATAGTGCGGAACAAAGAACTTGTTAATATCACATCAACTATATGTTAAGACTCCAAGGTGTTAAGCAAGTGTTTGAGAGATGCTAAAGCTTTTCGACCACAAATACTTTGCGAGGCACTGTTAAAACGTTTAAGTCTATCGGTCGCCTTCCAAAGTTCATCGTTACTGCATAATTCCTTCAATACTTCGGTTAAAGATTCTTGTAAGCGTCTCTGCAATGATTACATTAAAAAAATTGAATCTTACAGTAATTTGGAAATTCCAAGGACTTTTCAAACATTTCCCGGCAAACAAAAAACCGATTCCATAAACGAACATACAAGATGTTAATACAAAGAAATAAATGAAACGATTATAATCATTTAACTCTTACTTGGTTTGATTTTTCGGTAACAGAAGCAAATGAAGTGAGAATTCGAACTAAATATGCAAAAAATCGAGGTTTTGAATCGTCGAGATTAAAATTCGAAAAAAATCTGTTTGCACAAACGCACAAACATTTCGTAATTTTTTTCCATGTCTTCTGCTGATCAAGCTGTTCGTTTTTCATCTATAATTTAATCTCTTTATTCCAGAGGCTTATTAACATCCGTCAAATTTGTTTTCATGTTTATCGTCTTTTATGCATTCTTCCGTTTTCGGCTAATGCAGAATAATGTGCCTTTATATTCTTCGAAATATCAAATTTCGGTCGAAAACTTTTATATTTCATTATGTGGTAAAATTTACTAATTTGCAATTCAAATGTCTTAACAAGTCTCAGACGTCAGTTAAACCTATTATTTAACCATCTATTTGTCTGAATGTCTGGATGCTTATTGTATTCTCATATTTTCGGCATAAACGGTAAAAATATCATGTGTAAAAAACATGATGGATTTTAATTTCAGAATCCATTTCATGTCTGCATTGTAATTCTTTTTCGCCTTTACGTAGTCTTATGAAGGTGGTGTCTGTGCTACAACAAGTTAAACTGTCTGAACTTGCTAGGTGAAAAAGCGAAAAATCTGGTCAGACACATCTGCTTACTTGTGATTACCAAAATTTGAATTTTTACTTTGCAGAATTTTACTCTCTAATTGTATTCTAATAGAGATTATTTCTCTATCACTTAATTAATATTAATTATATTTTCAAATAGATTCAGAAGTGCATGGGAACAAATATAGTGCTATCGTTACAAAAATTTCGAATATTTGTTATCATTGCTAAAGCAGATACTTACTGTATTACACTTTAAAGGTATATAATACTCACCAAATCCTTCCGCAAAAAGGCCACTGCGCAACATAGAGCTTCAACCTAAAAAAAGTTAAAAACACAAATTTCGATTTCAGAAATATCTCTCATATTGGCTGTTTAAGAGAACAGACTACTTCAACTAGTGCTTAAAGGAAATTCAATGGTAACTATTAGATATCAACTGTCGCTTTTAATTACACCATGTGTACGGTCATACCTTTCTGCAATGAAAACTACGACTAGCTATTGAGAGAAATCAGTCATTCCACAAATGGATAAAAACTAATTTGATTAGTGTTTAAAAGCTTAAAAGAAGTTGAATCAGTGGAAATCGACAGTTAATGCATTTTTATTTCGATCTTAGAGTAATACAGTAGAGTATGAGTTTTCATACTCTACTATATTACTCTTAAGTGGAAAGGCAATTCCACAAAGTTCTTTAACCATCATACGTAATACCTGTAAACCAAAGACCATGAATTATGGAACAAAAAAATTGTAAAAAATCATAAAATGAGAAATTGAAAATGATAGACGTACTCTGTGAAATGTTCGGATATTTTTGTCAAAGGCAAACTCGATGATTCGTGGAAGTTCGCTTAACAAGGCATGCTAAAAATTATAAATTACAGAGTAATTTTTTAATGTATGTTATACTGATTTAGGTTATATTAAGTTGAATTTTAAAATGATTTGGAAAAATTACCGGATACTTAATAAAAGGAGCCGTGACGATTTCGCTTAATATTTGGTTTTTCTTATCATTCATGTATTTTTCCAATAATTCGATCACTTTCGACCGCATACTCTCAGCAACAACATTTTCTTTTGCATCGTAACAGCCTGCGAACTAAAATTTTCAACATAAAACAAACTAACTGACGTTATATTTCTGTTCTAGAAATGATTCAGAAGTAAAACAGACTTACCAAAAAACTTGCAACATTGCCAAGAATATTTCTCATAATAGGATTTACGGTTTCTGATGTCTTCAGGACAAGTTTATCCAGTAGTTTGATAGCATTCTTTTCATTTAGCTCACTCTAAATAAATACAATTAGCGAAAATTTCTGCAAAAAAATAAATAAAAGTGTGCATAATATAAACGGCATTAATACCTTTTTGTGTTTTATAATAATTTCCAGTAAGTTTGTTGCTTTTTTGAAAGTTAATTCTCCATCTTTTCTACGCAGAGCTTGTTGAGCACATTCAATTAAAGGCAATATAAGATCCTATAAAGTACATAATTTATAAAGTATATAATTTGCTTGATTTCGAAAAATTTACAAAAAAAAACACATCATACCACTATCTTATATGTTCCTTCTTGATGAGATACTGCTATTAACAGTAAATCGAAACATTTAGCACGAAACTGTTGAGCCTGTTCTACTAAGAACGTACTTAGAGCTCGTGAATTTTTCATTCTTTTACGAAATACAGCTGCCAAGCTTTCATCCAGACGAAACATCGTTTCGTCACTTACTGTTGATGACAAGCTATCCTAAAAATTATGGGTGGAGCAGTTTGAAAGGGAAAGAAATGCAGGTAATCAAAGATTGCTAAAACAAAGCAAATGAAGCTTTCAATTTTCTTCTAACTACTGCAGCGTCAGTTATAAAACACATCTGAAAAGATAAGAGTGGAAACATAGTTAGAAAACTCCAAAGTTGAATCATTTAGTTTCTTTAATGATAATTTTTTCTCCATTTGTCAAAAAAGACCTTGCTCATCCTAGCACAACTTCAATCCAACATAAATTTTTTAAGAAACTTCAATTACCTTGTCACTGTCATCATCAGAACGCGCAGCAGCAGAACCGAGTGCTGTTTTAAGATTATTAACAAAGTCTTCATCAACTTCATTTTCCTCTTCATCTTCCTCTTCAAATTCAGATTCATCCATTTCCTTCTGTTGATCGGTTATATTATTATTAACTTCTGGAATACATTATTAATACAGTTCATACACTTCCCTTAAGCAACAAGTTTAATTAACATGAGAATGAACATAGAGATCAATCAAACCATTCTCTTCATTGCTTTGTTCAAAATTCTCGCAGTTATTCTCATCTTCACCGTCTTCATCATCGCTTTCGCTCGTATCATTTTCTTGCATTAACTCTTCATTGCTGAGATTGATAATCTTTAAAAACCAATAAAAGATTTGCAGCATAATTCCAGATATTAATGTCGCTACATGCAAAAATTATATAATAAGGAAAAAAATATCAATTCAAGAAATGTCGAAGTCGCATATTAAGCATAGGTGAAACTTTGAGATCTTGAAAATTGGAACCTCAAGAATCTGCAAAAGATTTTCTAGTTTCATCCGTGGCACAAATGAAGCAAAGACGTAATGAACAATTGAGCGATGATACCGATGTGGTCGACTTAATAAAGAAAGTAATAAATCAATCAGAACCTGAAAAGTGTTAGCGTAAATATACAAGCATAAAGGAATTTTAAAGTTACACAATTACAGGATATTTAAAATCGTGAGAAACAAAAATCATTCAAAACAGTGAAGAAAAGTAAATGAGGAACAGATATTAAAAATATAGCAATGGAATCAAAGCATTTATTATAACTGGCATTTCTGTAATTACCTTCGCTCAAATAAATAAGAAATATGATAATTAAAAAGAGATCATAAATTGAATAAATGTATATTTAAATTAAAATATAATTATCAATTATCATATTAAAATTAAAATATAATGTGTGTTACCGCTATACTGTCGCTGCTGTCGTTTTCGGTCATTTTCTCACTAATTGCTGACATCTCAGTAAGATCTTTTAAATATGAATGGCGCTCATTCGAATCAAATGCTGCAGTTACCCAAAGTGCAAGTATATTCATAAAGACGGATAACGCCCTGAAAAAACTTCAATGGTACCTGCTCAAATAGAAATCAGTGGTCAAAAATCGACATAACTCCATGAAATTTTATTAATGATAAAAATTAATAATAAGAAGTGCTTCCCTCAATGCAAAAATTTAAAAGTGCCTAACAAATAGATAAAAAAATCACCCGCTAACCACTGGTGGTTTAACTCCTATATCCTGCTTTTTAATCAATTTTTGTAACAGCTTTTTGTGTTCTTCTTTATAAATTGCAGTGACATTTCTCCCTGCTCTTACACTGACAACGAATAAGGAAGCAATAGATGAACAAAAAGCATTGCGTGTCTGAAATATTAAAAAGATCATACCATAATAAGTAAATCATTTCAAACTTTACTTTCATAATTAAATAATTTAAATTGTGGAGAATCAACAATGACTAAATAAAGAATTAAATCAAAAAATTTACTTCCTCTGTCCATTTTCCTTGTTTAAACAATAGTTGCAAAACATTTTCTTGGACGTTTACGGGCCAATGTAGAAATACATTAGTTATCCGCCTTAATCTCCAACCACGTTCCTTCAAGGCCTGCAAAATGAATTGAATAAATTCAAAAGCAGACAAATTAAGTTTTACAATTTGCTCAATATTTGATTGTTCAAATGTATTAATTTAGTAATCAAATAAATTAATGGTTACTTCAAGGACTACGGCAAAGGTATCGTCATGCAGTTGCAGTAGAATCTTTTCCGTGATTTTAACATTTCCGCCGATGAATTCATCAAAATTTCCATCTCCAACGCGATCGAAACTATCAAGCAATTTAGTAATGTTGGTTGATGTCCATTCTTTTGTAATAAGCGACTAAAATAGAAAATTCTTTTCAATATAAAAATCATATTTTTCTTTTTAAATTATTAAAATTGTTAAAAGAACACATGAAGTAGAAAAAAAAAAGCAAAACTATTACCTTCGAAGAAAACATAAATTACAAAAATTTTTGTGATGAAAAGATGGGAAAAAAACCTCTTTAAGAACTAGCAGGATTTTTTCAATCGTGGGAAATAAGAAGCGAAATTCATTGCTCTTTCGTATCGATCTTACTAAACGCACGAATTCGGGAGAAAATACAGTCACCAACTAAATTTTTTTAAGAAAAATATTAGATGTTGGGAAAGAATACTTTGAAGAGAGAAAGTGCATAATACTTTTACACAAGATCAAGTGATAACATAGAAAGAAATTCAACAAGCCAAAACTGTGCCTCATCCATTTCGAAATCTATTTGTTGTAGCATTGTATTAATAAATGGCAGTGCACGAGATATAACCTAAAAGTTACATTAAGTGGATTAAAGCAATGATATCTGGTTGACAGAGTCAACAATATTGCTCATTTATTCAATACAAAACATTTTCGATTGATTGTAGACAAATTAAGATCACTTCCATGACATCAACTGCCAGAACTGGAAAAAATTTCTATCTATGCAATATCCAAATATGTTCATTATCAAGTAAATATTAATCAATACTCTGTGTAAATCGCCATGATATAACCACTTTTCGACAACTTTACTGTAAACTGTTTCGAAATTCTTTGATGCATGTGCGAGCAGCAGTAATTTCAATATTAATTCGTTCTCAGCAAAACCGCTCGTTTTCTTAAAAATCATTCTAATATTTATCACTTCAAACATTCTGTAGTAAAATTAAATAGTGTAAATTATTTCTGAAAAATTTAATATTTTGTTAGTGAAGCTCAAAAAGTATGAAATGAAGCACAGCATGAATGACTGAGATTAATCGCAATAAATGAAATTTGTGTGAAAATAAAAATCGAAACAACCTTCAGAATGTTGATAACCGCATCATAGTCTTTATCGGAAATATATAATTCTCCACTGGCTGACAAAAACGATACCTCAGCTTTTAATGTATCCTATAGCAAACGATTACCAAGATAAAAAAAACAGTAATGAGAGTGAGATAAAAACAGTAATAAAAATTTTTGATTAGTGAGCCACATGGTTTTATTATGGAAACTTTATCGTTCAATCTTCAACTCACATTATGTTTCTCCATAACATGTAGAGCAAAATAAAACCATTCAGGATCAATTGAATCCAATGGTTTCGTAACATCTTCCTTCACAAGTGGCCAAAAATTCTTTGCAAATCTCTTTTCTCGCAATTTATTTGCACATTGAGCTAACAAATCAGTAACAGAGTAAGCCATACCATTTTGCTTCTTTGCTAAATTCATTTCTCGCTTTGCTATTTCACATAGAGCCTAAAAACTGGTACGATTTAATGAAACAAGACTGATCAAAAAATTTTAAGATGATTAAAAGATACAAAAAAGAAGTGCAAAGATATATGCCTCATCATATGCATTGCTGTTCACCATAGCTAAATGAAATAAGTGTTGGCCCAATATTGAACCCCGATTTTCCTGCAATAAGGTAGTTATAAAGATTACAAATCATAAAATTACAAAAAAACAAGACATAACGGCAAAAACTGCTTATACATAATGAAATTTGAGAAACAGGCGTAATCGTTATTAACGAACTCCGCTTGAGTTTCTAAAATTACTTTCCTCTAAACTTGTTTCTTCTCACAGCACAATATATTCAAACAACAAAAGCTATTCGTCAAAAAATCCAAAAAGAGAACTGCTTTATTTAACGGCAACTTCTCGTCAGCTAATTTGAACAGCGCTTTGACTGGCCAATCTTTCCCAAATGAAGAAAGAATAATGGTAAATGCGTTTGTATAACCGATACGTGCAGCAGCTCGTGATGATGCCAGGCCTGATACCAACCTTTCCATCAAATAAGAACCATCCTGCTTAAACTGAAAAACAGCTTTTTTGTTTACTTTTTCTATATCTATTTAAATGAAACTTTCTATTCTCTCCTGCCTAATCGATTACATCAAACACTTATTATCAGCTTGTGTACCGATTTACATTAGAAAAACAAAACCTGAAACAATAAGAGGAAAGATTTTGTCCTAACCTCGCTAAAGTCTTTCAAATCTGTAGGATAATCTTACTTAGAGTGGTAGATAAGACAAGCAGAATTTTGGATTAGTCTTAAATTGACTATTAACTGTGCAAAAAACTCTATAGAAAGAAAATTTTGTAGAAAAGCGGAAGAGGGATAGAATGAATTTAAAGTTTAGTTGTTGAAGTAATACCGAAAAGTTCAGAATTCAAATACGACTTACTTCATTTAAAATGGCAATCACAGCATTATGACGTTTGTGTTGATCGAAATCGGCGAGATCATAAAACTTGTCTAATAATTCTTCCGATACATTAACCATTTTATCTGGAATTAAATTTGAATAGCAATTTCGAAATCGAACTACTTCCAGACAATTTTGATAGCCATTTGGATAGCAAATCCAATTAATGTTAAGGAAAAACTTCCCTTGAATTAAGAGTAAAGAGAATCCAGTAATCCAAACTCTCAATTCATCCCATTTCCCAAAGACCGCGAACCCCCAGCGTAATGGACCTCATATATATGAGTATTTGCGGCCCGTCATAAACGAGTTACTTGATGGCGCGTTGTGTGAAGTCGCCATACTTGGTTCATCATTTATTTCTCTTGTTTCATTTGCTGCGGTAAAGTGTTTCAGTAATTCTGTTTTCTATTTCTAATTCGGCATGTGATCGGTTAGGATAAGCATTATGCTTCAAAGCAATGATTTTTAGCCTTTGAATTAAGTGGAAAAATATCACATTGCTACATCACTTCAAGTCTTTCATCAATGATTTATTAAATTGAAACAAATTAAGTTTTATAAGGTTGTTGCAACTATTTTAACCTTCCAGAAAAGGTATCATTTGCCTATGAGTATGAATAATTATTAATTTTCCATGTTACTCTCATCTTTGAAAATTGTTAGATTTGCTCGAACTATGGGCTGCGAAATATACAGTTCATGGAAGAGTTATTAGTGATAAAATGATAAGCATAAAATAATTTTGACATATTTATTTTAAATCACATTAATTATAAAAAAACATGAATCAAAATATTTGATCTTTCGTGAACAGTATTACTCCCTGAGAAACGATGAACGATGAAATCACAGAAAAAAAAATGATTCATAAAATGGAAAGTTGAAAAGATAGAAGAAAATTGTTTCACATCAAGTCTATATCCATAAGTTCCGTACTGCTGATACTGTAGTAGTAGAACCAATATATTATATTGAATACCAGGAAAATCTGGAACTGATAATACAAATTTTGTGTAATTGATAATTCTAATGAAATTAATAGGATCAAAGAGGAATGCGTTATATTCGATAAGTTTCGAACTTTTATCTCAGAATTTGATTATTTGTGAAATTATGAATTATTTATTACCAAAGGAAAAATAGATCTTGAATATTTGTCAATTTCACTAGGCCGTATCATACAGAACAATAACATATATCCCTCTTTTGTGGTTTCCTCCAAATGATTTGCTGGTGTCGGCGATGGTGGAGGTATTGGACATTGACATTCACCCTGAATTATCCTCTCTTTATTACATTTACTCATATCAGTTAATATTAGGAAAAATCATTCATATTTGATGAATTTCAAATTACAGTAACTCTTGCCAATATTATAATGAATATCTCTATTAGTGTAATTTACAGAATGTATTTCGCAATGCCATAAATGCCGAAATTTCAACTATTGTAAATATTAAGTATGATAATAATTGATGGCATTCCATATAAGCTGTAAAATATGATCATACATTTGTGAACTTTACCAACTTTTTTTAGAATAACGGGTGGTTTGATTTCACCACCATTGTACAGAATGGAATTTTTATCACGTGATGAATAAAATGGATGATAGAGCGGAATTATTGCATTATCTGTTGTCGATGGCATAGTATAGAAGCAATCTGGTACTGTATTTGGCAACTTCCTTCAAAATAATCACAATGATTGTTGCAAATTATAGAACTATAAGTTATACAAGAGAGTTAATTTAATTCAGGTGAATTGGTTAAATCATCTTTTTGGGTACGATTAATTCGAAGTTAAAAAAGAAATTGCGAAAATGTCCCTTCATTAAATTTTATCTTATTGTAAGTTTCAAAGAAAAAAACAATACCAACAAAAGAAATTCGAATAAATGAATAAAATTTACCTATGCAGATCTTTTCGCTTCTTTTCGATCAATTTTATCCTCTTACTGATATATCCAACGGCAGCAAATTCAAGTAACGAACTAAATACCATGATGAATGATAAGCCTAAAACTTATTCACTGATTTGGGGATATCTTTTCTTATTGACATGAAGTAATCTTCCATTCATCAGAATCGCCATTTTTTCCTGTTCGATAATGACTCTACCATATGAGAATGATCTTTGTTACACTCTTTGAAATCGAGGATTTTGACTTTAAACAATGAAATGAATAATCTTTATGCATTATATATCTTCTCATAGTATAACTAACCGAGGAATATGTCGATGCTTTTAACGTAAGAAACTTTCGGCATTGAAGCCTATAATTTCATCATTTTAGGATTAAACGAGGAATGAAATGATTCTTGGGTACGATTAGTTCGAAATTAAAAAGAAATAGCGAAAGCATTCTTTCATTAATTTTTGTCTTATTGTGATTTTATTGTTCTTTCAATTAGTTTCGGTATTGAGGAAGAAATGATTTCATAGAAATAATAGTATTAGAAATGTAGTAAGATTTATATATTTCAGGCTAATTTTTATAATTATAAACGAGAAGTATCTTCTTCATTAAATATAATGTAATGAAAAAGGTCGTAGAAAGGATGGGAAATCTGACATTTGTAGTTGCAGTAAGTGTAGTCATAGTAAGTATGGTAAGTACACTGAGCGCTACTCGTGCTGGAGTTGCATCACGATTAAGCCAGAAAGATATCCATGAGATGACAACGATCAAAATAGAAGGTAGATAAACTTGAATAATGTAGAATCCCATATTTCGTTTAAATAGAAATGCGAAGGTTAAACGTGAATAGTTGCCTGAAATGTTAGCAGTTGGAAACTCAAATAATTAGTAAGATGAAACAATTCGGAAAATCTTCCACTATTATAAATAATGAGCAGTTATAAGTTATAGGAATTTAAAATATACAGACAGACAAATTATCTTGCAAACGAACGAAATATAAAAGTGAATATTTTAGTATGAGAATATATCTTCTCGTTAAGTTCTCATATTTCGTCTATGCTTACCAGAACTTACGACAACATTTCGTGATGCGACTTGTATATCGATGAGTACAAATTGAGGTAATTCAAATTTAGATTTTGATACTGAATTTTCTGAATTATTGAAGAAGTAAACGATATCCGATGCGCTGTATCCATCTGCAACACACAATCTTTTTTTTTGGCCTGCATATTAGCTTAGCACTGAATAATATAATCCATTACTAACTATGCTAATTATGCTGAAGCATAGCAGGAATTAAAGTTTTTTAAATTCGTTATTACTTGTGGTATAACAGTGACATATTATTGCATATGGACACTAAGGATTACACAACAAGTTAAAAGTTTGACTAACAACTTTCTATTTCAAGTTTGCATTTCTGGGAATCCATCGGGAATAACTGAAGTTTCATGTTACATGTGGCTGTAACAGTCAATCTGTAAACATATGAATTGAAGCTCCCATCAAACTTTATTAAATTCTATTAAATTCTTCGCAGCAATATTTTTTTAACGGATACATCTTCAGGTAAATCGATTGGAGGATTTTTCATATATCAACTACAGCATTTGCTACATACTGTTATAATTATCATAAGAAACTTCCGATATTTTAATGCTTACTTAATCGCGATCTTTGATAGTTAACTCAATATCAAGATCTTATTCGTTACTACTGTAGGTATTATTATACAACACTACATTTGTCTATTTCATGGTAATTAAATTAATATAAAAAGTCAAACTTTACTAAGCTAGTAAACATACATTATCTTTTGTTGATCCTTTTTTTCTTTTTCAAATTTAATATCGGAGTTGAATGTTTTTATCAGTTTAACAATGAAGCGAACCTTTGACTGGTGAATACATTGCCATTTGGATAGATCCGCAAAAATGAATTGTGCGTTGTAGTTGTGTGGAAATATGATCTCTTTTCATTCGGGAAAAATGTATCTGGCTTCCATAATTTCTGCAGATAATCCACGCCAACCTAAGTATGGAATTAATTTCATTAAGCTTAGGGTTGATTATCAGTTTCATTATCGCTACATTATTACTTCACAGATTCTTCGACTTTGTTTCAGTCATAATGTGTTCGACTTTGTTTCAGTCATAATGTTAAATGTTATGTTATTACATTTCACTATTTCAGAGGATAAAATAAGTCGTTGATTTACAATTACATTATTTAAATTCAAAAAAAAAATATCTAGCATAGGATAAGTTGGTAAGTATATCAGGTGAAGCGCAGGCTTGAGCGAAGAATTACCGGATACGATGAATAGACTGTATTCAATGTATGCTTTTGAAATAGTTTCCATCCGACATATACTGGTGTTTCAAGAATAATTTATTGATGATAATGTGAACTTGGTAATGAAAATTTTTTGGCGCTTTATTAAAGTATTTTAGTCGTGGTGATATTTTAAAATCTATTTAGCATTAACCAATCTCTAAAATTACTCATATAATTTTAGACATTATGGCAGTTCTTGAGATAGGAACTAACTGTTAATGAATCAATGTTATTTTCGAAGATACCATACAGATAATGACTGAATGCAAGACGCGGATCATTCCAAGTTTGCCTTAAGTAAAAATCAACCGTGAAATCCTGAAAACAAAAGCGACTGCTTTCATGATACTGACAAGAAGTTAAAAAAAAATGTAAAGAAAAAGAAAAACACTTTCTTAAAATTCATTCAAACTATAAAACACTGATTAGATTGTAGAAAATGGCATCACTGATAACACTACTCCTATCATTATCACTACCTATCATATTAGAGTAATATATACCATATCAATTTCGGATACTGCACTAATGCTTGATACATGTATCGTAATACCAACATTTACCGGTCCTTCACCATGTTTTGGCCTTAGACGTTTATCATATGTAGCATTATCGATAAGCATATCTAATATTTGTGAGATTTTTTTGATATGTAAGTCACATTCACTGAAAAAAAAATTTTTCATGTATCTTTATCAAATATGACTTGCATAATATTTTCCCAAAGCCTCATCAATTATCAATGCAACTAGCTTTATTTTCCAATAAGCCTATCTATCCTATGTTCATCTGTCTCATGGGCAAATATGAATTCGGTGCCAACAAGCATCTATGTAAAAGAATTGAATTTATTGAACTATGAAATTTTTGTGTTTAATATAAATAGTACATAGCTGTTTAATGGTAAGTGTGTAAAAAGAAAATAAAGCCTTATTAATTTTAGTTATTTGTAATTAAATTATAACTATTAAATTGCAATTATAATTATAGTTGTAAATGAAGATTGAAAATAAATAGGAAAATTTTTTTGATAACAATATTTACCGGAATTGATATATGTATCATAGGAATTCATATTTAATCGATTAATGAAATAAATATTAGTAAGCTTTTTCATACTTTTTTCAACGACGAATTTTCCACAAAAATCCATTTCAATCATTTACTTTCATTTTTTCTTATTTTCTTTTCCTTTTCTTTTTTTTTAAAAAACGAAATAGCATCATTGGTTAGTATTGAAATAATTGAAAATAACTGGCAGCAAATATCAAAAGAAACAAACTCTTCAAGAAGTTGAAATGCTTTCATCGTATAAAACAAAGCAAATAATAATAATATTATTACAGTAGATCCCATTAAGTTGTCCAGGATTTATCTAAAGTTTCAGATTTTAAGAAAATTATTTTCATTGTTTAAAATTTAACAGCATTGCATCATACTTCTAAATTTCTTATATTTAAATTTTCCATTTGCTTTTTGAAATGTATAAGTAATTTGTTTGCAAAGTGCTTACCTGAACAAAATATCACAATATTTGAAAAAAGCTTAAGAGGAAAATATTCAAATATTTACCTTCCACTTTCGGAATCAATGATATCCTCAAAGCATTTGGATATGATTTGATGAGAAGCTGGCAAGAAGATAGATGAAGCAAATGACATTTGAAAATATGAAAATTAAATTTGGTTTATTTTAATCAGATAAGCAAAATTGCGTTTTTTTCTCGCTTCATTTTCAGTTTGTTTTTATCAAAATAAAATCAGACTGAAATCAATCATTTTCTTGCTATAATAATACAAAACAAACAATTAGATCGAATATAATTTGACCCATATGAGAAAATAATTTGACCTGAATCGTTATTTTACTAATAATATGTTAGCTTAATATTAATGAATAATACTGATAAGATTCATCTTAAATATGCTTATCATAAGCAGATGATGAATTTAATTAATAGTTCCTCCTACGGTATTGATAATGGATAAAGTTAATGCATATGAGAAAATAATTTGACCTGTTTTATTTGGATCATAGGTCATAAAAAATTGATTTTTTTTACTTCAAAATATTTTTTTGATTAACTATATTAGAGAAATGTAATAATGTCATTTAAGGTGTCAAATAAAAACTGTCAAATGATCACACTAAAATTAGTCCATCGATTTCTTGTTTTTCAATTTTTCTATTTTTAAATTGGAAAAGTTATCAAAATTAAAAACAAATATAATAAGAAATGAGAGATTGTTTGAAGAGTTAAGAATGTCGCAAATTTTGATAAATTAAACAATATGAAATTCATTTATTAGAATATTTCACTTATTCTATAAATGTTCATCATAATTTACTTACCTGTATTATTTTACCTGATCAATAAGTCAATAATGCTTATTTTTTATTTTATTAATTTAACGACCAGAACATTATCATTACTTATTAATTACTACAAAATAATTTAGTGAATGTAATATAGTGATAAAAATATTGTTAAATCAAAATATTGCAAACAAACAAAAAATAAATATTGCGACGTTTTTTCGTAATTCGTTGCAAACAAAAAAAATTGCGAATTTTTTGCAATTCGTTACAAATAAAAAAATTATTGCGAATTTTTTTCGCAATTTGTTGTAAACAGAAAAATGCGATTTTTTTCGCAATTTGTTGCAAACAAAAAAAAATTGCGAATTTTCTCGCAATTTGTTGTAAATAAAAAAATTATTGCGAACTTTTTTCGCAATTTTTTTTTTACTTATTTAAACTTTTAATTGAAAAAATTTTTTTTCATACTTTATTTAATATTGAAATATTTTTTGAATATATTCACTTATATAAATATATTTGCAATCTATTTAATACATCATTTTATATTTCTAAAAATTTTTATTGAATTCAATTTTTTTCAATTTCTATTTTTAAATTTGGAAAAGTTATCAAAATTGCAATTATAAATTCAATCATTTTTTTTCTGTTCAGTTTTTTTGCAAATTTTTTTTGAGAAATAATTTGCAAAAATATAAATTATAAAATTCTATTTATAATTAATTGCATTCATAATTAGTTGCATTTGTAATTAATGTTGCAAACCAAGAAAAAAAAAATATACTGCGAATTTTTTCGCAAAAGAAGAAGGAAAGAAATAGTTTATAATTATTTCTAATTTGCTGACACAATTCTTTTATTAATAATAAATAATTAATGAATCATGAGAGTTTCGCTAACTCCTTTTTCTTTGCCATTTAATTATATTATTACCGTAATAAGCTGGCAATAATAACAGGGAATATGAAATTAAAATGTGTCAATTAATTTAAACTAAAAATAATTTCTAACCTTTTTTTGGTTAACTTTTCAAAATAATAAATAAATCATCCTAAAATATGAAAAAAATTTTGTTTGAAATAATTTTTAAAAATATATACAAATTATATGAAAAAAATTTTTCTTATAACACATCAAAAATGTAAATATTTATGAAATGAAATTGGGATGATAGTAAATTAGATGCTTAATGAATAATTATTCAACGAAATCATGAAAGAGAGAGAGAGAGAGAGAGAGAGGGAAAGAGAAAGAAAGAAAGAGAAAGTGATGTTGATTCCTTCTACTTGCCACAATCATCAATTGCCCAAAAATGAAAGAATATAAAGCAATTACTCTTTCCTTCTCCCTCTCTCCCTCCCTCTCTCTCTCTCTCTCTTTCTCTTTCTCTTTCAAGTATTTTATCAATAGATCGTTTAGGCTTAAAATTCTATTTCTTCCTTTTAAAAAGGAACTTCCTATTAAAGAGATTAAACAATGTTATCGTCTAACAAGCAAAATATTCAAATAGCAAATATAAAAACAAATCATTTTCACATTAATAGAATATATTCTAAAGTTTCCCTTCTTCTTTTTTTCTTTCTTAATTTTTTTATTGATTAATTTAATTTTAATTAATGATAAATTTTATATTTATAAAATTTCATAATTAATATTAAAATTAATTTAACTGATCAAAAATTAATTTTAATTTATTTTTTTGAAAATGTTGAAATTTTATGAAAATTAATTAATTAATTAACAAATTTTGAATTATTTAATTTTAATTAATAGCAAAGTTAATAAGTATTTGATTTATAGAAACAATGAATTGATTTTGAAATAGTTTGTTAGTTTTTTGTTCATTATATATACATATGTATGCTTCCCATTATCCTAAACTTCTTATCTAATTTATAGCAACATTTAACTCTTAAAATAATATATGTATTAATTAATTAATTAATTGACATATTTAATATCGATATAAGAAATAGAAATAGGGAACATATATAAATAATTTTCAAATAATTAAGAAAAGCACTTTCATACTAGTCATAATATCCCGATGGAACTACAGTATCATCAATGGATTATACTTAGTCTTTCATCATCCAAGATTGATTGATTATGGAATTGTTGCGAAGATGAGAAATCTCAAAGGAAATTATTCATTCAAACTTTGCCAATGATCACATATATCCTCGTATCATGCTATTTCCCAAATTTTAAATTTCATTCCTCACCAAATTTACGATTATTTGCACCAGCAGCGGTAGTAGTATCAATCATTTGGTAGGTATGGTATGGTAACTATTGTTGCATATTATATCTTAGATTGTATAGGTAGGTGATAGCTTTCTTGTACTACTCTTTCTTTGCGGTAAATCATCCAATGCTACTGGATAATCAACAATATTGCAGTTTTCATCTTTTCTACTAACATTGTAATTTCTACATTTATGTTTTTTGCTAAACTTTAATTTGTAGGCAAACCAAAGAAGGAGAAACGTGAATTTATACGGCACAGCTCGTCAAGTTCACGTTTTAAGCCTACTATTCTTTAGATGAGACTTACGTGTTGTATATCGACCCTATGAACAATTTTAAAATGCCGACATAAGTAGTAATTCTGTTGACTTATGAGATGATAGAGATAACGCGTGCTTGGAGGATGGATGATTTTATTGGTGAAGTGATTTGGGGAGTACAGGTATTGAGGAAGCTGTTAAAGATTGATAATATTTTCGAGATGTTCCCCTAAAATGTTTCCTCTTTGGGAACAGATTTTTTGAAACATTGAATAATTAATTGATCAGAAATAGAAACAATAATACTAACAGTATAATTAGAAAGAGTTGACAAAATTCTATTATGATAAAAGTTTAAAGAAATAGAATTTCGTGACGTCAAAGAACAATGTTATTGTTTTTTTTTTGTGGCTAATTGCTTGCTTGAATATGATGTTCAAGCTATTTCAGGTTCATCTTTTATGAGAAACCTGTTAACTTACAAAACGTTGTTTAAAAGCACGAAATATTGCACAGCGCATGCTACTGTTGCAAAACGATCGTTTACTGAAAATCATGTAACGAAACCAATAAGCAAGCAGTATTCCAATCAGCTATTACATTTCATTAAGGTATGATAGATTTTCATATTTCAGTATGCTTACCTCTTACTATCATATTATACCGATGTTCGTTATAGCATCTTGTATAATATCTATTTGATATAAACAAGAAAAGATTTATCCTTTTTTGTGATGTAGAATGTGGTATTTTAAAAGGTTATTTTCAATTCAGAGGGTCGGGTAGATTATTTGATATTTCAGAAGGGAACAAATTATTGTAAACGTCATTTGTATTTCTTATGACATTAATTACTGTTAATTAGGTTGCTTTTATGTCTTAAGTTTCTAAACATCTCCTAGTTATTCTGTTTGCAGCAGAAAATTAACTTAAATGGACCGATGAGTGTTGCTGACTATATGCGTCTTACAGCTTTATCACCCATTGGTGGCTATTATTCATGTAATGGCAGTAAAATATTTGGTGAAAAAGGTGATTTCATTACTGCTCCTGAACTAACACAAATGTTCGGTGAACTTATCGGTGTGTGGTGCTACTACGAACTCATTAATACCGGTACTCCTCTTTGTATTTTAAAGAATGATTATAAAACAATATTTGAACTTTATTGATGTTTATAATTTTTTATCCTCCATTTACTTATGGATGTTTGAGCTATTATGTGACTCTTGCGAAGGTTATGCCTGTAACGTATTATTCACATGTTATGACTATATGAAGTATACCAGTGTTACGTTTGTCATTTTCACTTATGATTGTCAGCATAGAATTTTGATAAATTACAACTGTTCTAGTTAGTATTATTTCAGGTGCTTTCAGGACATAATGGGGAATGGCAATTAGTGGAAAATGGTCCTGGTACAGGGCAGTTGATGTATGATATCACAAGGACCCTGAGACAACTCAAAGTATGTTTCTTCTTAATGTTTTTTATATTCTAACTTTTTCATTCTCCAATTGTTTGTTGATATCCATTAATGACAGTTTGTTTTGGGTGACGAAAGGATCTATTCATCTTGTGGAAACATCCGACTCTTTGCTGAGTCAGCAGGAATCTTTGCTTTGTGAACATCCATCGCAGTTCGTTGATGGAAAGCCGTATGTTCAACATAATGTGACAAAAAACGGTTTCCCGATATATTGGTATCGCAGTGTTGATGACATTCCTGCTAAAGTAAATTCTTGTTATTATTTATGTGAATTTATGTAAAACTTCATGTACTAATGTTATTGGCAATGGAAAGTTGCTTAAATAAGTGTTACAGTTTTCGAATGGAAAGTTGTTTAAATAAATGTTACAGTTTTCTGTGTTCATAAGCAACGAGTTTCTGGATGCGTTACCAGTGAATCAATTTAAACGAGATGACGAGGGCAAATGGCACGAAGTATATGTGAATTTAGATAAAGAAGACAAACTTTGTTTCATGTTATCAAGATCCGAAAATCTACATACTTTGTACGTTTTGCTCATTCCATTTAATTTTATTAGAAATTATTGAAGATTCATATCGAGGAATGATAAGTTCTGCGCAACTGTAATTTTATATGAACTACATGAGTGTGTTGCAGTGGTTTATTACCAAAAAAAATCCGTGAGGACTTATCAATCAAAGAATGGGAGATCAGCATTGGCGCTGGTACTTACGTCAACCAGGTAGATTGATATCAATAATTGCTAACGAAATTTGCTGGCGCTGAAGGTATTTTTCAATAGCGCTGATGATTAAGATTTTTGTTATGTTCAGTACCTTTAGGTCGCCGATAGTATTACGAAATTTGGTGGTTTTGTATTGATAATAGATTATGGTCATGACGGTACAAGAAAAGATTTATCTCTGCGAGCATACAAAGATCATCAAATTGTACATCCTTTGGAAAATCCTGGAGAACATGATATAACTGCCGATGTTAATTTTGGATATTTGAAGAGTCTCATCAAAGATCGAACACTGGTTTTTGGACCAGTTAAACAACGGTACGTTGTAGTTCTGTTACTTCCAAAACTTTATAAAAAATCTCCTTTTTTCTTTCACTATTGTTGACTGTAAGCATGATTTCATCAGAAACATTTATTTTTATTTTTCATTTTTTCCTGTACTCATAGCAACGGGCAGTACATTTGATGAATGTTTCGCCACAGCGAAAGTAGGACCTTTATGTGAAATCCACTGAGATCAATAATATGATCGTCAATAATTTTAGAGAATTTCTTGTTCAAATGGGAATTGGATTAAGGCTGGAAAAATTGTTGGCAAGTTGTAAAACAAAGGAAGAAAAAAAAAATTTGGTTGAGTCATGTGAAATATTGCTAAGTGATAAAGGTATGGGTGAGCGATTCAAAGTGATGAGTATATTTCCAAAAACACTAGAAAGTATCTTAAGTCAACGTAAAGGACCGGCCGGTTTTGCAAGAGCATGAACTTTTTGATTGATTGTTTAGAATGTCTCTCTTGCCTTTGTCACTGTTTTCTTAAAATGTTATTTTCGTACCTATTTTATAAATCCGTACAGTATTGTTTAAATTATTATAGTTTTAAATGTTAAATTTTGTTTGCCATTCTTCATGTTATTGTCGGAAGCCGTGAAAATATGCTAAACATTCGTAAGAAAATTGCAAAGAATGTAGGATTTTTTTGTTATGGAAGAATAGTTTCTTGAAGTTCAGATCGATCTAATTTTAAAATAAGCGTCATCCAAATATTTTGCGGTTTTTTGATATACTTAGCTCTACGATGTATAGCTTCAGATATATATATCATTGGAGTTTTTATATTCAAACATTTTGAAAAATTAATGTAAACATGAACTTACTCATTATTGCAGCTTCATCATTACTGCTGCTTTTCTTCTACTTTTTTCTCGCATTTTGTTATTTAAAATGGTATACTGTAAAGCTGTCAGCATCTTCATATCAGTCTTATAAATCATTTCTGTTTTTACTATTTTGATTTCTTTTGTTCCTTTTCATGATGTTTGATGGGCAAGATTTTTATGTATGCATACCAAATATCAGTGAATTTGCATCTTCAGTTAATTGATGAATTTTTTTCTATGAGCTTTTAAAAGTTGAAATTTCAATTGAAAGTTCTTATGAAATATTTCCTAATACCGAAATTGCTACATAATTGATTGAAGATGTCACGCATATCAAACATACGATACATATTTAAATGAGGCATCGTTATGTGGAGGAGTCGAACCTTTAAGTTACTACAACGATTTTTCATCACAAAATTTCTCTGCTTCCTGCGCTTCAGATTTATGAAAAAACAAATTCTTATTACGAAATTCCCCAAATGAAATCAAGTGATAATTGGCTAATGAAATAATGCCTTTCATTCAATTTTAATTTCTATTTAGTGGGGTAGATTTTTTTTTAAAAAAAATATTCGTTTCGGAACAAATTTCTGATATTTTTCGGGACATCCAACTACAAAACATTTCCATTTAGTGCTTAAGGTTAATTTGAAATATTGCAAATTTTCAACTGAGAAATATTCGGCAATTATCATCGACTTATATAGATTACTGCCGTAATATCTGCAGATATTACAGCAATTGTATATGTAAAGGATAATTAACATAAATAACATTCCTTTCCAGGGATGTGTGTTTTACCCACAAATTTCAAATAAAATGAGAGTTAGCTACTATTTTGATTTATCACAAATAAGCCTAAACATTTCTGAGATAAATTTTCGTTCGAAATTTTAATTTGTTTCTTCACTATCACAAGTAATCTGCAAGAGGAGAGAAAACAAAGGATTGCCTAAAATAGTATATTGAGTCGTTAACTGTATGGAATATTTATTTTATTTTCAAATGTCCATTTTCAATTACGATTGTTGCTTCATATAGACGGCTTAAGCAACAGTTTAAAGTAAGGCAGAAGAAATCATCGTTGGGTATAATATTTTTTAAGTGAGAAAAATAGTTTTCGATAGGCAATCGATGATGCAATCAATCTATTCATCCCACCGTTTAAGTTTTTCTTTTTCTTTTGATTTTTCAAATTTTAACAAATTCATTTAGATTTCTCGATCGGCAAACTTGAAGAATTTACTTCATGAAGAGAAATTAGCTTGCTGTTAACAGAACATTCGAAGAATCATGTATTAAATGAAATACCTTAGGTGTGACACGATTTTTACGAAATTCTATTACCAAAAAAGCGGAGGAGCTAAATAATGTTAAAGATCTGCAGAGGCTCATTATCTAATTGTCAATATTACTAGCATCATAAATTTCTTTCAAAAATGTTTTCCTAGTAATTTGTTTTCCATTTACAAAGTTGCGAATTTCGGCTATTACATATAAATGTCTGGGAAGTTGTTTATAATGATAATAATGATGGGTATGATAAAATGATAAATGAATGTTAAAACGTGAAATGTATAACAGCGAGTAACAAAATTTGTATTCCTTTTTTCCTTGTAGGGTGTGAAAAGTAGAATGAAATGTGATAACACGAAATGTTGCAGCACCATATAGACATCATCCGAAAAAATGTTACGAAGTGACAAAACAAAAGCAGAAGCACTGTACAACATATTCTACCAGTTTTGAAATTTCATAATTCAATTACAAGCATTAATAAAATAACAGCTGATAAAGTGAATAACGGTTAAGATAAGTCTCCTTTGGAAGTCTAGTGTCGGACCTGTAGCTGTACTATAACACGGTACTGCAACAATATTAAAAAAAAAATCCTGATATTTCAACTGCATTTCAACTTGAAGAACAAACATCATGGTAAGGAAAGGCTAATAATTTTTCTGAAATCTTCAAAGATGGAATAAAAAATTTCCAACAATGGGTTTAAGTTTAAATTTATAAATCATATAAATCAAGTTACTTGCAATTAATAACTTACTAAGCATTTCAATTACGGATAAGCATTGCAATAAATGCAAAAAGTACTGATAAAAAATTGCTGTCTCGTAGTTCAAAACTAAACTTTGAAATCCTTAAAAAAATGGCTGATCCTTTCAAATAAGCTCAACTGAATGCAAACAATTCCATCTGTGATCATTGATTGCAATTTGCGCAACAGTTAAATAATGTAGATGCAAAAGCAAAAAAATTATCTACGGAAGTATAATTTAGAGAAAATTCCGGAGAATGAACATGATTAGATAATAAAACACATCAAAGACAGGTTTGAAAGAACAGTATTATTGCTAGCTGAATGACAAAACCAAAATAATTAAAATCATTTGGAAAAACTATGAAAACAACGAATATGGTCTTTGAGGTTAACTAAATTTGAATATTTGGATTCTTAATCCAGCTTTTATAGTACATAATGTTTTAAGTTTTTCGTTTCCTATTTTATCACAAACCTAAACAAAGATTAATAATATCAGAGAAAACTCTGCGGTGATAAATTCTGAATAAAAATAGTTTAATGAGAGATGAGAATAAAAGCACAAAAGGGTGAAGAACTCACTTCAAACATGCATATAGTTAATTACAAGCAAACACTGAGATTCGATACTGATGCGCAAACCTATCGTTTGAAAACAAAAATCCCTTGAGTTATTTCCACTGCTTACATGTGTACTGAAGCACTATATCGAACATGACTTGATGGCATATGCCACCTTGAAGGACGGTACTGAAACATAATTAATGAAAAATGTGCTGTATTGTAACGAACAAATCATTAAAATTAGCAGCATTAGCATCTCAAAATTAATTAAAATCTTCAGTAGTACAAAACAGTAACTACCATAAAGGTATTTTTCTTGCTATCATCTTCACAAGATTTTTTAAAAATAAAAAGTCAAAATTTACCCTTATCAGTAGCTGGCCCGATGGTGTATGAGGATTGAAATATGCGTATGAGGCCCAACTTGCCAGAACTACAACACCAACTACGACAACAAATATCGAGACGAATCCACTATTAGATCGACCTAATACATCTATAAACTGGCTTGATTTAATAACAGATTTTAATAAGAGATGTAAACTTGTATTAACTTATTTAGATTTCAATTACAATAAATCGAAAACTAAACACATGCAAAGTCACCTTGGCTGTCCTTCGCTACTTCTGGAATTTTGACTTTTTTTTCACGATCCCATGCAACTACTTCATCCGGTTCTGACGGTGATGCTGTTACTCGTGGTTTTCCTGCAAACTTTGACTTCTATCAAACTAATATTACAACTGATTTATGGCGCCACGAAAGTGGATGTTCCTAAATTGAAGCATGATTGCTTTATAACAAGATTAGTACTGAAATAAAAACAAGACAAAAAATGTATGAAAGGGAAAAGTAATTGAATGGTTGAATCAGAAAATTAACTGCAAAAATGGAAATTCCACTTGCTTTTCGTAGTAAGCAAAATAGCTATTCTTAAAAAACATTTGACCGCTATGAAATCTTAGAGACGTTGAAGTTGCTGTTATTAACTTTGATCATTTGTTTAAAAATACCAGATACATCCCGAATGTCGTCTTCGTCATCGATTTCATTGAAATCTTCATCTGCACTACAATAAGTCACTTTACCGTTATCCTTGCAATTCCCTTCAATCCACTGCTGCCGGCGTCTATGTAATCTGAAAACAAACTATGTTACATATCCCCTTTATAGATTTCGAAATTAGATATCTTCATTTATGTAAATAGGCAAAGAAGCTTACCCAGCATGGTCAGAGCAGAAAGGTCCGCCATGTTTTGCCTTCGAATGACACCAAGAGCAGTTAAAATGCTTTAAAGTTGCATTGGAGCATTCTTCACAGCTCTGATATTGTATGCATGCTGGAATATAAAGACTAGAATATGAAGTGCTTTCTATAAATATAAAAGATAATTGATCAGAAAGCTTGTGCAAAAATTGTTTTTACTTGGTTGAGCTTTCAGTAGAACGATTGTATTTGAAACAATTAATGAAGGTTTCACTTCAATGCGATGATATTCGTAAATAACTCGTTTTATCGATGCTGTAAAAAAAGGAAGGCAATATGGATTCATATTTTGGAAGGAATAACATTTTTAAAACTTTATGATATTATGATTCAAATAGCAAAAAGTTTAAAAAAGTAACTTACGAGGCTGCGAAAGAGGTGCAAGAGGGTTATGCACGCTGTGATGGAAAAGATAAGCATCGCTCATCCCTATTTTAACTGGGTGATGAGAGTCACTGATGTTTGTTACAGGTATTGGTACCTAAAATATCGCTTACATACATTAGTCATAAAAAGCCAAGGCTTGAACACATATAGCTCAAATTAATATAATTACTGATTTTTGTATTCCTGCTTAACAATGTTAGTTTAATTTTTATCAAAACATAATAATGGATTATTTCAATGCTTACATCTTTGTAGACAAACCAGATATCTCCGTTCTTATGCAGAGATCCTTGAAAAGTGAAGAAGCCATCTGAAAATATGCACAGTGATAAT